CCTGGGAGGCACATTCAGCCCACAGCGCCACGCGCCTGGAGTGTCAGCCCGGGCGCCTGGGGAAGGAGCAGCCTCTGCCCAACTGGGGGCCATGGGAGCTGCGCACCATCAGCACCCGCCTGACCTCCCCAGCCTCCTGCCATCACTGTGTCCCCAGGGCTGGGGCTGGCAGCTGACAGGACTGAGGGGCTTCCGGGCTTCCAGGCTAGCCTCAGAGCTGGTCCCGAACAAGCTGCGATGGTGGCATCGCTTTTATCCCTATTTTCAAGAAGAGCAGATGAAAGATTGGGGAGGCCAGGGGCCAGCATCACACAGAAAGGAGAGAAGTCAGAGAGCCAGGCTCCATGTCCCGAGCCCGAGTTCGCCAGTGGGGAGCCCCCGGGGGGCCGGTTTGAGACTCAGGTGTTGGTCACAGCGTGCAGAGGAGGCCCGGGGTAACAGGCGTGTGCAGAGATCTGTCTGGCTGGCTTTAAAGCTCAAGCTTCAAGCTGACTTCAAGACTGTATTAACCAACCGAGACGAGAAAACACACACCAATCTCCCAGGCCCGAGGTCCTGGCAACTCACAGAGACCCTGGAGGGCAGAGGAGGACTGCCCAGGCACTGCGGAGACTGTGAATCTAGACGGGAGCAAGCCTCCTCTATTTCCCACTGAGCAGCTGGTGGTTTTAAACTTCCCACCTTACAGTTAGCAGCCCCATGTGTAATCAGGGGTCCTTTGGCTAACCAGGAACCCTATTTATCACCGTATTGAAATACATATTTACATGTGTGTGTGTACATTTCAAGAACCCAATTATGGGAGGCTTGGATTCTATAAGCGTCTGTATTTTCTAAATTTCATCCAGCAATAATAAAGATGGAGATGATGATAGAGGCTTTCAGGGCCTACTTTGTCCAAGCACCCAGTGCTCCACGCCCCACAATGGGTTTCCATGGTAACCTCCAGGGACAGGCAGGAGAACATGAGTACCTGTTTCTTAATGACTGCGCCTGATTGCTAGACTATATGAGAACAGTGTATTCATCGTGAACCCACCCGGAGCCTAGAAAATAGGGGCCTGGCGCTCTGCTTCCCAAACCCCTGTGGAATATTTCTACTCTGCACACCTGAAGTCGCTGGGAGTTGAGAACCACTTTTTGTTTTTAATTATGAGAAGATGTCAGTTTTAGAGTCAGGATAAAAGAGCCGATCTTTCAAAACACAACAAGACGGACTTGAAGATGTGTAATTCTGGGTCGTCCCCCGCTTTATGCTGCCTACCCTTCACACAACCTGCACCCAGGAGGAAACCATCTACACCTCAGTTTACCTGGCTGAGACTTAAGCCACGGGAGGAGAGGGCAGGAAGCAGTCACAGGATGTTCTACCTGCCAGGGGGACCAGTTTCCTAGGTCTGAGGTTTTCAAACTGGGATCCTTGGAGGATTTGAAACCAAAGCAGTGTTGTCTAGACTGGGGCTCGGCCAACTGAGGCTCCCAAGCCACAGGGCCTCTTTCATTCACACGTGCTTCCTATGGGCTCTGAAGTAAAATAGAAAATTCTTAAACTCAGATCACGATGGCTTTGTGTGTTTATAAAAATGTTATTCGTGGCTCTTGAGTAATTTTAAAATTGGTGTGAGGGACAGGATTGGCTCTTCCATTCCCAAAGTTTGCCAACCCAAGATACAGACGAATCCTGAGATAGTGTGCTCTCGTGCTGGGCACTCGGAGGTCAGTGAAGACGACTGGGCTAAACGACCAACTAGCGTTGATACTTAGTATCAACACTAAGCAGGCACATGCCCTCCCGGGCTTCCACTCCTCCCCTCTCCTCCATTTTCAGCAGTGTTTGCAACAGCAAAAGATTGGAAACATCTATCCATGGAAACCTGGTTAGAAATAGTACACGTTCCTTCTGGATACTAGCGCATACAGCATACAGCACAGCCATTAGGAAGGCTGAGGCAACGGGATATGGGCTCAGAACACACTGGAAGAAGGAAGGCAAAAAGACTCAGTGGAGAGGAGGGAACGAGGTACCAGGAGAAAGAAACAAAATATCTCGGGAAAGATACACAAGGAGGAAGCAGGAAGTTGTTCCTGGGAAGGGAGCCAGGTGGCTGGGGAATGTGGATGGGGGGAGGCATCCTTGGCGGGATACACCCTCTCCGTAGCTTTATCCTTGGAATCCAAGCACCCTCTTAGCTCTTCCAAGAGGACATTTAAAATTTTTTAATAATGCTCGATTTTTGCCAGGGTAGCTTATCTTAGACGAAAGAACTTAAAACGTGGACGGGGGAAAAAGCGAATGGGAAACCACAGCTGCTCAAAGGCACTGGGAAACAGCCCAGCCGAGAGAAAGGAGAGGCCTGCAGGAGACCCCAGCACACGCTGTCCCCCCACATTGCCCTTCCCCAGCATCTGGGCTGGGAGGCTGGCAGGGAGCAATGGGGGCTGGTGAGCTGGGATTCGGTAGCGAGGAGCAGAGGGCTTGAGACCGTGGAGAAGATGGAACCACGGAAAGCTGGCTTTCTGTGACACTATTCCTCTGGTGGCCCTGCCAGGTAAGCATTGCACTGTTAACCACCAGGTCAGCGGTTCAAGTCGGCCAGCCTCTCTGAAGGAGAAAGATGAGGCTTTGTTTCTTTCTGCTGGTACCGCGTCCCCTCCTCTCCACTGAGTCTTTTTGCCTGTAAAGTAAAGTCTTTACTCCTGTAAAGATCTGCAGCCTCAGGATCCCTATCCGAGGTGACTGGGAGTCAGAATCAACTGCCGGGTTCAGGGGTAGAATTCATGTCTTCCATGGGGCAGACCCGCGTACAGTTCCTGGCCAATGAACCTCACGGGCAAAGGGCTACTTCCCCAAAGCCCCAACGGGATCCCAGAGGTCCAATCTGTAATCGTGGTGGGATGGCACGAGGCCAGGCAGCATTTATTGTCATTGTTCGTGGACAGATTGACAGTGCTAACAACAATCCTAACCACCCCCACCCCCACCCCCACCGAGGCAACTGAGGATTCCTGCATAAAGGGGAGCATGAGGCTGGGGGGCCAAGCTGAGAGCTAAGCGGCTGAAAACAAAGCGTGCCCCCTACAAATTACAGGGCTGTCCACCTCAAGGGCCTGATTGATGAAAACAGTACTTTCCCATGAACCTGAACACAAAATGACAAGGCCCCGTGGGTCTCAGATGGCAGGGGGGAAAATCATCCATTCTCAACCTGTTAAGAGTTGGTTTTAGGAGCCCTGGTGGTCGAGGGGGTGATGGATCAGACTGAGAACCACAGGTCAGCAGTTTAAAACCACCAGCCACTTCTCAGAGGAAAGATGAGACTCTCTGGTCCCATCAACAGTTACGGTCTCAGAAGTCCCGGGGGAGGCCCTCTGTCCTCTGCGTCGTTGGAATGGACTGGGTGGGGTGAGGGTTTGAGAGTCTGTGTTGTAAGGATAACAGGAAATGGGTGCGTGTACATTCTGGAAGCCAATGAGATGCATTCAGACGGGAGACTCCTGACAGGATAAAGTCACCTGAGCGGAGCCCTGGTGGTGCGGTAGGTTGAGCATTGGCCTGACAACTCAAAGGCATGGGGTGCGACCCCACTAGCCACTTCCGGGGAGACGATGTGGCCGGCGGCTTCTGGGAAGATGGCAGTCTGCAAAGTCCCTCGGGGCAGTTCTCCTCCGTCCTTATAGGATCCGCTCAACGCCCCGGGTCTTCGAGGGTGGTTTATTTGCTGTTTAGCCGCATGGGAACTGGGAGAACTGCTCCTCGGGGTGGTGGAGGAGGCTGGGTGAAAGCCAGGAAGCTGAGTGCAGGGGCGGGCAGGCACGTCTCTCGATGGAAGAATGTCAACAGTGGGGCCCCGAAACCTGGCTGGGTTGGCTCCTTCATATATGACGAGCGACAGGAAGTCGGTGGGGACACTGTCCTGTGTGCGATGGACGTGTAGTGCTCCCAGGAGGATGGTGTGAGGCCACTGGGACTTTTCCCGTCTCCAGAGGCCGTGGGACGGGCCACGACCCACCCACCCCTTGGAGGCTGGGCCCAAAGCACCGAGAAGATTCTGAGTGCACACCAGGCAAGCAGTGACCGGAAAATGTGTCAGAGGTGGTGTCCCAGAATGGTGCCTGTGGTAGTTACATCATCCACTGTCAATGCAAGACTTACGAGTGAAAGGGTAGAGTTTAGCCTGTCAATCAGGCCACAAATTGATGACCTCATTTGGAGGCGCTAAGGAGATAAATAGCTCATTGGAGGCGGGACACACGCTCACTCCCTGGGAGACATTACAGCTGACAAGTTCCATTACACATGGAACTATGCTAGCGCCCTGAGCTGGAAGAGCCACGTGGGGACCCCTGCCAGCGCTGAGATGCTTATAATGCCACTGGATCCACAAGACTTCACACCCACTGGCCTGTGAACTTCCTGCATTCAGCGTCATTGCATGTGTTTTGTGAATCTGAAGAGAACTTTATGGATTGGTATCGGACCTATGGGCTAATAGTGGACTGATGGGCTTGATCTGGACTGGGGCTGGGATGTTTTCTCAATATTCAATTACTCTTTATATAAAGCTCTTTCTTATACGCATATGAGTCTCCCTGGATTTGTTTCTCGAGTCTACCCGGGCTAACACAATGCCTGTGGATCAAGAGTTCAAGGTAACCCAGTAGCCACGCTTCACCTAAGAAAGAAACACAGAGGATCAGGGCTGCCTTCGCGGACAAGGCGCTTCTCGGAAGAAGGAAGTTTTTAAGTGAAAACAAAACGGGGGAAAGGGAAGGTTTCGGTCCAGTACAGGGAAGGAGGAGGCTTAGGAGTGAATTCCGGACACGAGGCTGCAGTCCAGAAGCAGCCCTCTCATGAGGAGGCAGCCAGGAGGATGGAACTCAAGCGCCTGGGCCTGGAGGGTGGGCTGCTGCCCTAGGTTCCGCCCTCTCCCAACAGGCTCCACCTCCCAATAGGCCCCGCCCACCTGGCCAGGACGCAGGCTGCCCAGACAGAGCCCCACCTGCTGCTGGCTCTGCTCCTCCAGGTTCATCTTCACCTCCAGCGACTGGCGGGCCTCCAGGAAGGCTTTGCGGTGCTTGCGGTCGGCCATGTAGTAGGACATGACGCCCACGACGATGGCACACAGGTAGAGGAAGACGTTGGCCAGCACCTGGGCCCCAGGGGAAGAGGAGAGGACAATGGTCAAGGCAAGTCTTGAGGGAAAGGGGTAGAGCCTCGAAGGGGCAGGGAGTGACCACAAGCAGCCCCCGAGATCTGTCAGGGTTCAGGAAGGGCCTGAGCTGAACAGGGAAGGTCCCGGGAGAAAACCCTGGTGTGCTTCACCATGGGTGGGTGAGAGAGTTAAGGTTTACTGGGCCAACCTGGCCGATAAACACACGTGGGATCAGTTGAAGGGCAGAGAGATAAATGGCTCAGTGAGCCCCGCCTTTCTAGGTCTTGGGTCTCTTGCTCTCTGATGGTCGGATCAGGGTCAGCTGCCTTAGCCAGTGCCCTGCGTCAGCTGGCGAGGCTCACTTCCTGCAAGACATCCCCAAGGAGGAGCCTCATGGACCTACTCTGATGCAGCCCTGGGTGCTGGAGCAGCCGTGTGGAGACCCCTGCCAGCACAAGATGCTTACACGCTCACTGAGTCGGCTTTCCTCCTGCAGTCGGCGTCATTGTGTGTGTTTTGTGGGATTGAGGAGGACTTTGTGGATTGGTATCGGACATATGGACTAATGTTGGACTTATGTGCTTGGGCAGCACTGCGTTAGAATGCTTTCTGAATGTACACTTACCCTTTATTTGAAGCTCTCTCTTATACATATGAGTTTCTATGGATGTGTTTCCCTAGTTTACCCAGACTCACACAGTGGGTGGGTGTTAGCTTCAGGCCTGAAGGCACGGAGGTTCCACAGGGCTCAGGTGCAAGAAAGACGGGATAGGGGGGAGGGGGATTGTGGTTCACTCCTGCTTCCCGCCTCAGCTAAGCCAAGCTGTGGCCATTACATAACTGCATGTCAACTTGATAAGTAGGGTGTAGGGGTGGAGTCTACCCTGTCAATCAGGTCACAAACCCAATGGTGCCCTCTGGTGGGTGTGGCCTTTTCATAAGGGGGGCCCTGGGAACCTACCTCCCCCGGACTCCCTGCTTTTGTCTTCCTGTTGACAAGCCACAGGGAGCCACACTGAGCCCCGGGAGAACCCTGGAGATGCTTCTACTGCCACTGGATCCATAAGTCTTTACATCCACCGGCCTGTGATCTTCCTGTATTTTGCATCATTGCATGTGCTCTGTGAGTCTGAAGAGGGATTTATGGACCAGTATCGGACTTCTGGGCTAATATAGGACTTATGGACTTGATCTGGACTGGGCTGGGATGTTTTCTTAATATATAATTACTCTTTGATATAAAACTCTTTCTTCCTCCCCCTGCTTCACGACAAGGGCAGGCAGCCAGAGGCCACATGGGAGGAAGCCGGTTGGTGTGGTAGGGCTATCTGCAAGCAAGGCGCCCCGGGACAGCCCAGCAGACACCAGAACCTGCGGGGGGGGGGGGTGGGGGGGGGTGTCGCAGAGGGATCGGCAGGGTAACAAACCCAGTGTGGACTGCTAGCCTCCAGACTGTGAGGAAGTGGGTTTCCATTCTCAGAAGACAAGAGGCACAACAACCGGGTCCCAGCATCCTGGGATGTGCGGTTCTGAAAGCCACCAAGGCAGTGGGAGACCACCGGAGAGGCGAGGAGAGCAGGCTCATCCAGCTGTCACGCGACCTCATACTCACACTCGGGGTTTGGAGGGTTCTGGGCTTCCCAGGCACGCTCAGCCAACGCAACTTGCCAGTTGTGAGCAGCAGCCGGGAGCGATTGCCGGTCTCTGAGAAGCGGGGGCTGTTTGGACGTCGAGAGCCCCTTCCCTACAGACCTCCTACAGACCTCCTCCTTGCTGTCAGGAACCCACTCCCACGGTTGCAGGGATGCAGGTTCGATTCCCTAGGCAGGGGACCTGGGGATTTGGGGTGAGCATGCAGAGCTCACCTCAGATCCTGGTCTGGCTTGTGCGACCCCCACCTCTGGCCAGGCCCCATATGGCCAGACCCAAACCCCATGCATCCCTCCTTGAAAAAGCCCCTAAAGGTGAACCTTTTGCCCAGCAAAAGCTGCTCCTCAGTCTGATTCCTTCCTACTTCCAGTGCCAGCTGCCCGCTTTCACTCTCAGGCCTGTGCCCCTCTCCCCAATTCCTGGGGGTCCTGCCTGGGGGTGGTAAGACTTCCCCTCCAGGTGTGCTTTCTAGGTGTAAGTGGGGTGGAGCAGCCGGAAGGGAGGTAGGATGTCGCAGCTTCTGGCCCTTAAAGGCAGACAAGGTGGGTCCAGGTGAGCATTAGGCATGCCATTCCCAGGCAGGTACAAAATGCAAGGAGATCAACTTTAGATGTTTAAAACAGATGGTTTACCCTGGGGGCACAGTGTGCCTTGTTTGTGGGTTGCTAACAAGGACAACAGTTCCCAGCCACCTTCCTCAAGAGCAAGGTCAGGCTGTCTACTCCTTTACAGAATTACAAAAACCCTAGGCAGCCATCGTGTCCTGTGTGATAGGGTCACTATGAGAATGCACACAACGGCAGGGGGTTAGGACTGGCCTATCAGACCAGTCACTGGACTGGCTCAGCACTTGGTGTCCCCGTCCCTTTACCCCGTGTGGTCTTTACCGGGCCTCCCTTCTGAGAACAGAGGCCGGCCTTCGAGCCGACCTGTTCCATAGGCCTGCACACAGCCAGGCTGGAGGAACGAGAGACGGGGCTGTTCCTAGGTTGGCCAGAGGGTCCCCTGAGTCACAGAGTGGCTCTCAGCTGACATCCAGTCCCAAAAAGGCTGGTGGCCAGGGACGTGGAGATGAAGGGTCCATCTGAGTCATGTTCTGGAGAGTCACGTGGGGCCTGTAGGGTCCATCCGTGCTGGCGAGTCCCTCCTGCCTCCCTCGAGCACAATCTTTTTTTTTTTTTTAATTGGGGGCTTGAACAACTCTTATCACAATCCATCCATCCATCCACTGTGTCAAGCACATTTGTACATGTGTTGCCATCATCATTTTCAAAACATTTTCTTTCTACTTAAGCCCCTGATATCAGCTTCTCATTTTTTCCCCTCCCTCACGAACCCTTAATAATTTATAAAAAAATGTTTTCATGTCTTACACTGACTGATGTTTCCATTCACCCACTTTTCTGTTGTCCATCTGCCTGGGAGGGGGTTATATGCAGATCACTGTGATCAGGTTCCCCTTTCTCACCCCTTCCCCTTCCCCTCCTGGTACGGCTACTCTCAATATTGGTCCTGAGGGGTTTATCTGTCCTGTATTCCCTGTGTACCAGCTCTTATCTGTACCAGCATACATCCTCTAGGCTAGATGGATTTGCAAGATAGAATTGAGATCATGATAGTAGGGGGAGAAAGCATTAGAGAACTAGAGGAAAGTTGTATGTTTCACCATTGCCATACTAGACCCTGACTGGCTC